TAGCCAAGGGGGTAGCTGGTGCCTGCTGAACGGGAGGCGCAGGGGCTGGAGCAGGTTGAGCAGGCGGTTGCTGCTGATTTTGCATCATCTGCTCGACCATAGCCCTTAGCTCCCTGATCTGCTTCTCCTGCTCGCTGATCGTGTTCATGGCGTTTTGGTACTTCATCTCGGCTTCTCTTTCCGATTTCATGGTGTTCACACGCTGCTCCGCATTCATTTGAATCTCGCGTCTCATGGCCTCCGATTGGCTTTGAAGTCCGGCAATAATCTCACCATGCCTTGCCTCCGCCATCTGGGCGACCATGGGACCGGTGTCCTGATTCACGAACTGGTTGAATTGGGCATTGTTCTGGGTAGCGTTGATCTGCTGATAGTTCGTCACGTCCTGGTTGATCGTCATCGAAGGATCGAGGTGGACGTTTGCAACATGTTGGTTGAACTGATTCATGGACTGTGGCATAGGGTTTCCCCTTGCGAGATCGGTCTGGGGGTCGTACATGACGATGTCACCATGCCGATGCCGATCTGATCCAACAGGTGAAGGAGATCGAGCACCAGACCGCCCAGTCCTCCCACGGTCACTCCGAGATCGAAGTGATTCGGGGCCCTGACTGCTCAGCGCCTGTCCCTTCCTGATGAGCTCCCTGGCCACTTGGGAGTTTGCTCGACTAGTCGGTTCATATTGCGAGGCGTCTTCATCGCCTGCGGGCTCATCAGGTGTGGGACGCACCTCGGTATGGGGTAGTCCAGGGTCGCCATCCATGGCGTACAACTCTGTACAAAGAGCCGCTTACGGCTGATAACCTATAGAACAGGTAAAACAACCGGGAAGGGTCACAAATTAACCCTGTACTCAGCGCGCTTTTTCCTTGAGCCATACGCAGTCGTAATGATGAGACTGCGCAAGTGAGACATTCATGCATTGGGGTTTTACATGGTTGATAAATGCATCACGTTACAAACTACAGTTAGAACCCAGGTCCTTTACTGGGCCAAGCGCCAAAGGCGTGGACATCTTCTTCATCGAGCCTGGCGAGGCGTCTTTTCCCACTGATTCGATTCCCCAACATAAATACCGTAAATGCCAACAAACAATGATTTTGTCCACCATGTCAAAGTGATGCAGGATTTCGTCCATCCACATTAGCATTTGTGGGAGGGTACCTGGACAATCAGTTGGCTCTTGAAGGGACTGGGTCCCTGTCAGGTGCCATGGCAACCTGCTTCACAATTTGGATTCTCGAGATCAAGGTGATGTTTTCACTGGCCCAGAGATGCACCCTTTAATAGGAAAAGGGGGTGGGGGCGTTGACATGCAGATGCGTGAAATTCTGGGAATGCAGTTTTGAGTCCGTTGGATGGATAGGAAAGCGATCAGCTGGAGTACGAGAACAAAAACCCAGAGAAACCCACTTTGACAGGCCCAAGGAGACGCCTGAAATGGCGGAGGCATCTAAAGTCCGCCAGGGGTGGCCAGCCCTATAAATCAGCCCTATAAACCATGTAAGCCCGTGACTGCAGCTTGCCGCGTCAAAGGGCGACCAGAAAAACGACACCGCCACTTCAATTGCAAAGTGGCAATTGAAGTAGGTCTAAAATCATTTTTCCGAAGTGCCAGGTAAGCAGCCCGTGCACCCTACGGGCAAAAACATGCTAGCTTCGAACCATATTGGAGACAAAGTGGGCATGGGTTCCCGGCAAACTGCCCAAGAGGGCAAGACTAAGCAATGATGTTGCTGTTAATCAATTTTTACGTGTCGCTGGCCGCGACTAGATGGGTGCGTCTTTTTTGGAGGGTACCCTTTTTCTGGCTGTTTTGGTGGCGGGGGGAGAAAGGGAACACCCCACACTTGTGGGGGGGTCTGTTTGAGACACACCCAGATGGTTCCCCAATGTCCCCCAGCAAGTTGGGCCCCCAACCCGGGACAACGCAACCCCCCTTGCGCAAGCTGCCGAGCCGCCGTCCGAGGGCGCAGCTCTGTACTCAAAGCCTGCAGGGGCCGCAAACTGCGGCTGCCAAAGGTTCCATTAAACAAAAACACTTCCTGGATGGGCAAAACAAGTCTGAAAATGTTGTTTACTACCCAACATGTATTCCCACAAGTCTGAACGTCCAGGAGGGAGCGAGTAGATACATAGAACAATAACTATGTGCGTCCTTGTGTGTATGTAGTATGTGTATGTGTGTGTATATATGTATATATATATATATCTATCTATCTATCTATCTATCTATCTATCTAGCTATCTATCTATCTATCTATCTATCTATCTATCGATCTATCTATCTATCTATCTATCTATCTATCTATCTATCTATCTATCTATCTATCTATCTATCTATCTCTGTGTGTATGTGGAAGTGTGCATGTCTACGTTTATCTATCTTTGCATGCATGTTTCTATTCGCCATCCAGCCCTGTGAAAACCAGTCCTCATGTCCAAGACCATATGATAAATGGGGTGATAAAGCGGCGTGAAGGGGCTTCGGCAAAGTGAGCAACCCAGCTGGCGGTTTGGACCATGGCCCTCACCTCAGTCACGATGGGTGCATGGATGGATGGATGGATGGATGGATGGGTGGGTGGGTGGGTGGGTGGGTGGGTGGGTGGGTGGGTGGGTGGGTGGGTGGGTGGGTGGGTGGATGGAGGAATTGATGCAAGCACCCAAATGGCAACATCGCCAACAGAGATAAAGCGCTGTCCGCACAGAACCGAGCTCTCTGCTCTTCGACAGCTCAGAGAGTCAAAACCCTTCGGCAGAAACGAGCCCTGCTCGATGTCAGCAAAGGATGAAACATGCTCTCGTCAGAGCCTGGCACGAGCAGATAGGCTTCTGCAACGGGAGAGCAAGGGGAAATCAACCAAGCCAAATCCCTCGGGTGGCCAACTTTTCCCAGACCCAAGTGGCATGTCTCGTGGAAAAAACTGGCGTAAAGAGACTCGTGACTCCAGGGGCTGGACGCGCCAGAAACCCACGCCCTCAATCCTATTCCACATCCGCGCATCCCACATCTTGACCAACCGCAATCTGCGGAACAAAGTCAATAAGAACGAAACAAGCCAAGAACAAGTCCGGCAAAGAAACCAAGCCCAAAAGAAACAGGCGACCCTTGCAATACATAACGCAATACCCCTCCCCACCTCCCCGCCCCCCCCCCCCCCCCAAACAAGACAAAAATCTGCCGCCGCCTTCCGGCTCGAAGCGGGGCTGGCCCGTGGTGAAGGCCATGCGGCTGAACCACCGGCCCATGGGGTTCACGCGCTTGGCCGCGTGCACGCCTCAGGTTCTCGTCAATGGCGTCGCAGGGGTTCCACTTTAGCCCCATAGGGGTCATTCCAACTCATTCCCCGCCTATTGAACCAGCAAGTCAAGGGAGATGTGGGGTTCTCCTTGCACCTGGCAAGGGTCCAAGCGGAAACCAATCTTGCAGGCACCCTCTCACTGCCATGTTAGTGGGAGGAAGGGTACCAACCCTTTGGGATTGGTACTGAAAGGGAAGCCTTTAAGCAAGCCACCATATGGGACCTCCCCTGGTTTAACAGTCACCCACCCATGTCTGCTTTGACAAAACGGGGCCGGGGTCCTCAAAGGATACATCCAAACACGAACTGTCAAAGTGCTGAATTGCGTGAGGGGCCCATCAAAAACCTGGGGCACCCAGGTCAACAGCACAGGTGATTTCACAACTGGCCCAAATGCATCCAAAGGACCCTGGCAATACCTCACACAATGGAGGACCCCCTTGGGGGCGCCAGCTTTGGTCCAAAGCTGAAAGCTGGGGCACGTTCTGCTTGAACAAGCCCAACCTTTGGGTAGTGGGCCCAATGCTTTGGGGCTGGTCGGAGCAGCTTGGGCCTCAGTGGAAGACTTGTTGCCCTAGCATGCTGGATGAATCGATTTCTACTCTCCCACCAGCTATCATGGAAGTGCACAGACCCCTGCAAAGGAAAGGGCCTTTTTGCAGTTCCACGTTAGTTGGTGGGAGGGTGTTCCTCCTTGGCATCACGACAGTTCATGTCAGGCGTCTTCCGCTTAAAGCCGTCACCGGGCAGTCTGCTGGTCAGGACGTGGTCTGAGAATGAGTTGCGAACACCCTCCAGCGGTTTGCAAAAATGAGCTCCCCTGTTTGGATGCGGTGCAAAAGGGAGGGACAGCAAATAGAAGCCAACCAGTCCTGCCCCATAATGTAAGCCTAGGATTGATGATCCATCAAAAGGAGGTCCAACCCAATCTAGACAGAGGATCCGGATCACTTTTGGTGAAACAATCCATCAAATACTAGACCACTTCAGCTTGCCTCCGGGGTAAACATCTGCATCCTCAAACGGGGATCGGATGGCTTAGGCGCCGGCAGGCGTGGATTGGGAGGTACACCATCTTCATGTAGGTCCTCACCTCATATTCGAAGACCCGGTCAGTGCCCAAAACGTTTCCCAAAGCATCAGATCTTTCAAGGAAACTCACACGGCAAAGGGTGAGATCTCTCAACCAGTCCGAAAAGCAATGGGGCCCGTTTGTTTACAGGGCAACTAGCAGAAACGGTGTTGACCTCATGAGCACCTGGTTGATCAAGGGAGGTTGCCTTTTGAGCAGCGATCCCCTTTCAATTCGTGGTTTGGAGTTTGGAGCGTGGTTTGGTGGCTAGGGGGTGGGAAACCCCATTTACGCTCCACAAGAACCGGTTCATTCAGGGATAAGCCTCATCACCCACCCTAGTTACCCTGAGTCCGCAAGCGCCCGCTGACCGGACATGAATCGCCCTGCCATAAACACACTTTTTGAGCACCGCAAGTTCCAATGGAAACTCCAACCCACCAAACGTGTGGTTTCAAAACGTCAAAAGCCTTTGCCAAGGTTCGGATTCCCATCCAACTCTGAAGAGTTTGCACAGGCGTCACGTTGCAAGCGGCAAAAAACCAGCCATTTCCCCTTGATTCTGCTTGATGTCCAAGCACTCCTCGTTTTACCGCTTTCCCATACCTCGCATCCCCAGTTCTTTACAACTCCCGGGCCCAACCAGGGCCCCCGGCCACGGACACGCAGGTGAACCCCGCCATGGCCGCGTGCACCGCGTGGTCCGCCAGCGCGGCGCAGTAGGCGCTGTCGTTGGCGTTGGCCTTCACCGAGCGCACCTCGCCGAAAACACATCGGGGTGGAGACGACGGAAGGGAAGACGAGGCCCCCAACAAAATGGGCTAGACGGCCATGGGTCAAAATCCAAACCGTACCCCCAGTGAACATCCCAATCCTCACAGAAATAGACGAAAATGGGCGGTGCACCTACCTCAAAAAGGTACCATTGGTTTAACCCACTGCCAAATGACCCCTGGTTCATTTATAGGGGGGTGTCCTATTTTAGTGGAGATTCATCACTTCTGGAGGGAATACCCCCCTAATAATGGGTCAGGTTTATTAATCCTGGGTCAACATTAAATGGATAAACCGATTCAACGGGGTGGCCTTGCTCCCACTAACGTGGAAGATCAGTTTGCTCTTAAAGGGAACCCCCTGTCAGGTGCCAGGCCAAAAATGGATTGAATGGGATAGCCTTTCTCCCACTTACGTACCTGGAATTGTGAATATCTACTTTCACCCATGAAAGTGATCCCTTGCAAATGAACATGCAACTCAGACAGCCACAACTTCAACTATCGTGTTTCTGTCTTGATGTTGTTTTTTCTCTTCTTTTTGTGGGCGCGGGGCAGCAATGCCCTGCATTTCACGGCACAAAACAGGATGGCTTCCAAGGGAGAAGCTTTGGAACCTTGCTTTAATTCGACAAAATTGTTACACAAGACCCGTTTGTGCCGGCCATGTTCAGTACTCCTTGGGTGGTTCATGGCTAGGGTCCCAGGTGCAAGGGTCACTGGAACCAACCCCCCTCACATTTTTCTTGGAGCAATTCTAACCAGTTCCAGTCGGTCCAAACAGGTGAAACTGACAAACCCTGACAAACCCAGGTTCTTCTTCCTGGATTTCGTCGGAAACAAGAGAAACTGAGTGAGTTTTTGGGATATCGGCTATCGGGATGACCCATTGACCCAAGCCGCCAGTGGCTGACACGACTTGACGAGTCAGCCCCACTGGGCTGCTGGCCATGTAGGTTGGGTCGATGTACTTGACCCTCAGAACCGCAGTTCTCGAAATCAAGGATTCGTTGGCAAGGCTGTCAAAAAATGGAATCCCCAAAATGGCACCTGGGTTGGAACCAAAAACTAAAACCAGGCCGGGGCAACCCCTGGATAAATGGAACCAAAGACTACCTGCGTAACCCTGGCTCTTTGATTTGAGCCACACCCATTTCCTGACAAGGCCAGCCTAAAAAAAACAAAAAAAAAACACACCCAGCTTGGACGAGTCTCACCTTTTGGATGCTTGAAAGGAACACCAAATGTATTGGAGGGGGTGCCCCTGCATCCGAAGGCCGAGAGGCTTCCCGAAGCTCGTACAAAGCGATGGGCCAACCGTTCCAAGCCGAACATACATGACACCAGATGCTAAAAGTGAAGCATCAAGAAGGGATATCACATGTTTTCCGTATCGATCCATAATACCTGTATATCTTTATGTAAAATGATAATACAAATAATGTATATATATATACATATATATATATATGCACATCTGTGTGCTGTGCACTTGGCCCAAGAGGTGTTCGAAGCCACCGAACGGGCCATTTCGGGGAACAACATATCCACTGCCTCAGATAGAAAGAACCAACACACCCGACCAGCTGGGACCCGCTGGATATGGGGCCCTGGGGCCCTGGGGCCCTGGGGCTGCCGGCGTCAGGGGCTTCGACTTCTCCTTGAAGTGGTCCATGATCTGATCCCGCAGCCAGGTGCCCACGTCTCCTGCGGAGCGGAGCGGAGCGGAGCGGAGCGCAGCGAACCGCGCGGAAAAGGTTCTTTTTCTCGCCAGGACAAACGCGAGTAGAAAAGCGAGCCTCGCCATCTTCAAAGAAAAAGAAGAAAAAAAAACGAAATGGCCAACGGCAGCTTGGTGTTTGCTTCAAAGTTCACAGCAGTGGAAAATGGGGGGGGGGTTCTCTGATGCCACTGTGGGATCCCCCTGCCATCCCCATGACCAGTTGATCACTTTAAAGGGGGTTGAAGGTATCTGGTAACCTGAAACTGAATTTTCGAACAGCCTCGGCATGGAATCATTGAATAGGTTGGTGCAGATAGCGCCAACTGGGCGTCTAGCTTGACGGTACACAATGAGAAGCCACGCAACTTCTCAAAGAAGACCCATCTGCCCACCGGTTGCACCTCCCCAAAAAGATGCGGTTCGAATAGAACATCACTCGGCCTTCAGTGGACACACACACACACAAGGGGAGGCGGAGCCATGTTTGTGAAAAACCGCTGTTGTCATTCTTGTGGTGCCAAAGTAGGCCATCCCCGTGACCACTTGTCAGTTAAAAGCGTTTCCCCAAGGGTTGGGCAGAAGTTGGCAACCTAAAACCCCATCCCCCAGCATGCATGGAACCCTGGCCCCTGACCCCAGCGGAGCCTTCCATAGAGATCCCGGCACGCCGGAAGAGGGACTCCTTCGCACCATCAGCCACCTCGGCCCAAGGCTCATTCGCGTCCCATCAAAAGCTCCACCCCCCCCCCCTCCCCCCGAAGCCGAGAAAGCTAGAAAAATGCCCCCAAGCCCACTAATTCCAAGACCCCACACCACATCCAACTGCCTGGAGAGGGCTTGTTTTCGACCGGTTTTGTTTGCACACTAAGCTCAGGATTCCAAACACACTCAACAAGTCCTCAAGCCAGCCATAGGTCACCCCTGGACCCATGTGCACCATGATCGTGTGTGGGACGTCAGGCTTCCCTCAAGAAAACCCTTTGCATTCTTGCAATTTTTTGCTCACCCCTACCATCAAGAAACACATGGTGTCTTGACCCAGGCGCATCTGGCTCGGAAAGGCTCAGCAACACTGACAAAAAGGCCATAATTAGCAAGGGGGGCCATCCAGGGCTGGTCACTAGTCACGAAAAAGGCAATGGCCCCCTTTCAGGCTCTGAATCATTTTCTAAAAGGTGCTGAGCATGGGATGAAGAGAAGTGAAGAAAACTGAGGGCAAGCTCCAAAGAATCACAAGGTCCAAAGTTCTTCTCGCCCTGACACAGATGATCAAGTTAGGCTGCCATTGAACATCCGGCTACATCACTCTCTGATTCAAGGACCCCCAAACACACCTTTATCGGCTCGGTGAGACTGGCATAGGCCAAAACTGGGGGGGGGGGTCTGCTCGTTCGGATGCGGGCAGCATGACTCACCCCCGCTCGCCCATTAAAGCCTGGACGATATCACCCTGATCCCCTCACAGGATCTGTTTGCCCTCCTCCCACTCACTCACATCTAATCCGACAAAAGGCCTTTCACTTGGGGGGGCAAAATAGATAACATCCACCCCGTGTGTGGCTGTACTTTGGGCAATGCAGAATATATGGATCATCCCGTTGTTCAGGAGCATGATCTCTGAAGCGGGGCCTAGAGCACTGACACCTTGGGTTCCGTGTCGCTGTATCCTGCCAATCTCTTCAACAACAAATCCCATCATTCCCCCCCACATTCTCCGAAAAAGATGCCAAGCCAATGTGCTCCAAGCCATTTGGACCCGAACTTTTCGGGCTCACCGACCCCCATGCCGCTCCATGCGCACGTTCGCAAGCGCGAAAGCGGCGCTACATTCAGATCTTGGGGGCGCCCGGCGACGATCACCGCATGGCCCTTGGTGGCCATGACGTGCTCGCAGTGAGCCAGCACCTCAAAGTGCCACCAGCTCACATCCAGAGCTCTGGGACACCGATGCCGACCAGGAGCCATGCCGAGGAGATCACGTGAAATCCGCGCCGATGTTTGGTTTTTAGGGGGAAAAGATCCCAATGATTCAACAAACAATTGAAGGAGACCACCTGCAGTGAAAAAATCCCCCAACAACGTGTTCAATCAGCTTGAAGGAGACCGCCGGTTGGATGGATTGCGGCCATCCCGCCTTGGGCAAGTCAATCTCCATCTCCGGCAGCAAGCCTCAGATCGGATTCTGGCAAAAGGCCTTCGGAAGCTTCCCGATTCCCTGCATGGAAAAATGCACCCCCCAAGCTCACAAAACTTGATGGTGCTCAGCAGGGAATGAGAAATGGAATGACCCCGATGAACAATCTGCTATGGGTTCCTTTAAGGGGATCCCTAGGTTCATTCCCCACACCCTGGGTCTCCCTACTGAGTACCGGCAAGAAAGTTTAGCTCCGTAACTCCTTGCTCCTGCCAAGCACCAAGAGGCCAGCTACCCCAAAATCTACTAAGTGAGAAGCCAAACCATCACTGTCTCTCTAATTGGTGGTTTGGGTTTGGATTGTTTTTTCGTGGTTAGGGACGGTTTCCAATTTACCTGACCAACTGCGATTTCCGGCGTTCATCTGCAAATGAATGCAACAAAAACAGCCACATTCAGCGGGCATCGGCCGTTCAACTGTGCCCGCTGGGCATGGTTGGAGGATGGCTTAAACCTATTCAAGATGGGTGGCACCGTGCATGCCGCAAGCTTATACTGCAAACAGCGTAATAAAAATAAGGGTAACCCTGCACCTTCCAGCAATCTCCAGGTTTCTGTGGTTGGATGTTGGCTCACTTGCCATATTTCGGGCGATTTTTCCCCCGTCCGAAGCTCCCCCCGCGACATTTGTTTTTTCGCACCTCGGACCCGCGCACATATCCACGTTCCGTGCCGCGAGGGTGGCGTTCATGGCCAGGAAGCCGCTGCCGTTCCCCAAGAGCTTCACCTAAGGCTGGGCCTTTGAAGGAGCCCCGCTACCCCCAAACCGAAAGCTACAAGGGTGAAACTAAATATCCCCAAACCGAAGCTACCCCCGGGGTAAACCTTGATTATGGTGGCTGTGTATCAAATCAAACCCTTGCCGGGGGGGGGGGGTAGAGAAAACCATCTTAGACAAAAAGAACTCTTACTGTTTTGTTTGACGTGCATCCTGCGACTAAGGGAATGGGTGAACAAAAGCATATTTCCTGGTTGTGGTTTCGACCTATTGCCAGCTGGAATTGCACAAAAGGGGCCCTGAGGGCCAGCCATACCCATCTGGGCCCGGAAAACTGAAATCCAAAATTTCTGTTCTCGAAAGGTGGCTCAAAGAAACCAAGACTCACAAGTATTCTTTAGAAGCCCTCAAAAATACACTCCAAATGGTCATTCAAAGCAACCCACTCAAAAAGTCATCTTGAAAATTCAAACATACCCCTCAAACTGCCAGCTTTTCCAAAACGACCGACCAAAACGCCCGTCCCTTGAAAGGAAACATTGAGAAACCAAACAAAAAAAGCCCCACCCGAGGGCCGCGCCAAGCCGATGCAGTTGGCGTTGCAAGTGGCTTCCACGTAGGCCGCCGACACGCAGTCCCGGGCCTAGCCGGCTGCCGGGCCTTTGAAGCGGCCTACTGCGGGGGCCGAGGGGGCGGGGGGAGGCATTTCAAGGGAACCCTGGTATGGAACGTCCGCAAGTCTCAGAATGAAAGCCCAATGCTTTATGAACATATTACAACGAATTCAGCGAAGTGAAGCCAAGGAAATGTCACATTATTCGTTGGGATGTAAATGTCTTACAAATACGAGATAGGGGTAAACTTGGCCATTGCTCAAAAATATGATGTCAATATCATTTGTGCTGCATGCAGGTGTCTGAATACAGTAAGTTCATATTGCGTTTCATGCCATATGCATACATACCATGAATGTACAACATAGTTGTATTAACCTATATGAGCGTGCCTTTTGTCAGGGGACCCCCCACCCCACCCCAATCAATGGTGGGTGTTCCTCTTGGTTGCCCTTTAAAACCACAAAAAAAAGTACCCTCAAAAAGATGTACACACATATATACATATATATATATATCTACATATTATACACACATGTATATATATATATATAGATATATACATAGATGTTGAATATACCAATACACACCCTCAGGTCGCCTCGGTGCAGGCGGTGTCGAAGCCGAAGGAGGTGTCCACCATGTTCAAGTCGTTGTCCACCGTGCTGGGGATGGCCACCTGCCGCGCATGCCGCGCATGTGGACGTGCCCCAAACCCGTCGACTTGTGGCTCTACGGCAAAGGCCTTTTTATTTACTTTTCCCAAACAATAGTCTACCGTAATTTGCGATGGTTTTGTCCCTTGGCGGTTGAGTATGGTTGGGTTCATCTTCATTTGCAAAACTTAGGGCACCCGCTGCACCAAAAACGCTTAAAAAGGTTCCTATTACCGGACGATTTTGAGGCTTCCACGGGATAGCTTGAGCGTCCCGGGAAAACATGATCCACCCCAACTTTGCTGGTCTGGCAAGGTCTTGTACTGTCCCAGTAGCACTGCGCTACTCTTTTGACCCTATCAAAAACACGTTTGACCCGTCCAAAAGCAGGTAGAACCCTTTTCCTGTGGCGATGCTGCCTTGCCCAAGTTTTCGCCAAGCAGTTCTGTGGGTGGCTCGTCTTTTTTGGAGTTGACCCCCCACTTTTTGTGGCTTTCAATTTCGAAGGGGGTTGAGTTGGTCCTGTCTTGTGCTTTCGAAGGAAAAGCAGGAGGAAACCGTCCCCTAAAAAAGTGACATCCATGTCCAGCTAGGAACTCCTGTTCGGCTGTGTCTGCCAAAATGGAGGTGCCTGGAAGCGTCTGAAGTTGTCCTTTCCAAGTGGTTGAAGAATTCACCCAGGTGACTTTCCCAACCCCGTGCACCCGGGGAAACGACGAAGACCTCAAATCTTTCAGCTGAAGGGGACACCTCAACAATGACACATGCGCACAAGGCCGGCATGGCCTTCTGACCCCTTGCTTGCTGGCGGGGATGAGAATCACCGCATTCCCTTCAGACGTGCGCACGGTTTCCACAGTGCACGTGGTTGTGTCCTTTTTCGGGGATCCCCCCCCCCCCCCCGAAATAGTGGGTTTCCTCTTGGTTTCCCATTCAAACCACATTGGACATAAGCAATGAACCCTCCAGGGGCTCGCTAGGGAATTTGCTTCTCAAACCATCTCAAAAGTTCCCCGACATTGAGGCATGCATTCGGTGTCTCTGTGTCGACCTTTTTGTGGTTAGTCTTCTTGGGAAACCTGCATGAATCCCGTTTTGTTCTTTGGGGGGGTCCCTAGTTTCAAACAACCCGAACGCGCGCTTCCCCGTCTCTGGTGGGGCCGAACAGCCTTCGACCCCCCGCATCCGTGGCCCGCACCAAGGCGCACTCGTGGTCGATGGATTTTAGGGCCTCAGGGCTGACTTCCATGAGCTGTCGCAAATCCTCGCAGTATTGTACATGATTCCCCGTATGCATCAATAAGTTAGTCAAAAAGGGCCCGCTTCCACTTCCATGTGCACCCCCACGAGAATGAGGGATAAGGGTGCTTGGAACTGCGACGTACTCCGGCTGCCCAAGCTCGAATTTCAGACAACCCCCACCCACCAAAATTGGACAAGTCTTGGGGCTTGTGCCTTTTGAGGCCTTTCAGGGGCAAACTAAAAGGATAGCCAATTTTGGACTTTGGACCCTGAAGGTTGTGCCACATACCCAGAGTCTTTTTTGGCGCTCGCAAAACTGGAGGAGCATAACTACGCCCTACGTGCCCCAACTGGCACTTAATGCCCCCTGCAAAGCCTATGGTTCGCTGCCCCTGGCGTTTTTGAGGGGACTCCTAGTTGGATTTAGCGTGTAGTTGTCACAAAAAAAGGCTTCCCATGCACTAAAGCGATCTTCCAAAAACATAACAACCTGGAGCCTCCATCGTAGCAAACATTTACGGCTCCCCCCTGGTTCGATACACAAATTGAAACGTTGTAGCGTTTTTCCTCCACAATTGCTTTGGAGCAGTTTTGTCGGATTCGAGCAGACATCAAGTTCGGCAGTTTCATATTCTTTCACAGGGGCGAGCTTGGGAAGAGTCATTAACGAAACAAGCGCAACAAAAGTGCAAAACGAGCGCAAATCGGCGCAAAAAAAGTGCAAACAAGTGCAAACGAGCGAATATCCCAAACATGGTACAGGGAATGAGTTCCGACGGGCGCATGATTGCTGACAACTCGAGCGATTCTTGTTGAGTCGTACATTTACTTTAGAACAGGTTGTCACGAGCAGAAATATTTCGGGCAAAATTAATGTATCTATGGAGGCTGCAGGAACGGTTGGCTTGGGGGGAAACACACCTGCAAAGGGACATGCATGCTCATGCACGCCAGCATCACAAGTGTTTGTATGTATTTGTCAGCGCTTGAAAAAACAGAAGGGCGCGATCTCTTAAAGCTGGCTCATGAAGCGTGCCTGACATGGGGCAAGCGAGCGCCCAAGCCACTGGAACGGAGAATTAGTTGCACCCACCCACTCGCCATGCGTTTCAACCGCTCCGGACTGCACAGAGTTCACATCTCGCATGCTAGGAAGCGCGTCAGCCGAAGCGTGCCCAAACTCTGGGCGAGCTACCACAAGCTCGCCAAACTGGAAATAGCCCCGGTTACCGGACCTTCATCATGGGTGTCTGCCTGTTTGATCAGACTCCACTTGACTTCAGACTCCAGCGGCCACTTTCCGTCCCAAAGCGCTCTCAAGCCTTCCTCTTCGAGAATCACTGACTCGAAGAGAAACGTGGTCTAAATCAGCTTGCAAACGTGGTCTGCACAAATGAAAAGAGAGCAACCAACCCTAATTACAAATTTCCAACAAACCTGGACTTGACTCCCCATCGGGGCCAGGTCCCATCCAGCCTCCCCCTTCCCCCTCCCCCCCCCCTCGAAACCCGAATCGGGAACGGGCGAGGACCCGGGCAGTTCCAAGCTGAAGAGCACCCTTGTGCGCACCATCACCGCCCAGGATGAAGAGCTGCTTGCAGTTGTGCCTACAGATGCCGGGCAATCTTGCCACAAGTGTTCATCAAACTCCCTTGGCTTCCAAAAGGTGGGTGAATTACGAAAATAATTTGTCCAACCCTGCTGCATACAAAATTATGGTAACTCTGGCCCTTGCAGACGGTCAGGGCAAAGGCAGCTGAGAAGCTTCGGCCGGTTGAGGCGATTCAAGCTGCAAGAAATTTCTGCAGGAAGCGCGTGGTTGATTTGCTCAAGGAAAGCTGATTGCAATCCAACCAGCATTTCTTGGCTGCCGGCATCTGCAGCATGCCGGCCATATCTGCATGCCTCGCCTCGGCAAGGGAAAGCGCGATTCGGAGATCCCAAGAGCACCGCACCAGGGCTGAACAACACAGAAGCCTGGAACTTCTTGCAACTCCACACGGAACACCGAAAAGGCGACCCCTCACAGGTTGCTTTGGGGGTTCTTTGTGAATTGTCGCAAGTGTCTCATTGAAAAATGGCGGTCATCACGGCGGGAATTGGTGCGCTGCTACGCGGGCTTCAGAACTCAAGGACCCGGAAATCGCCCAGGCGACTCGCTCGACAACTGCATGGGGCTCTGGCATTCCCTCGCTCGCTCTCGAGGATGGTGCCGGCTTTGTTGTGGATGTCCTGGCGGAGTCAAGGCAAGCAGAGAAATGGGGGGTGGACGGGTGGGAAACCAATATCCCAGCCAGCCACTCAACCATAGTATGAAAAGTTGGCTCTCCAAATCAGTTGATAACCTTCAACTTGCTGGTTAGTTTCGAGTGAAGAGCGCTAACCCGCTGCGACCCCCCCCCCCCGCATCGAAATCCCGTCCTGCACCGCCTCATGTGTCAGCTCCACCCAGTTCTGCTCCTGGCAGACAACTTCAGAACCAAAGACCCCGGGTCAAAACAACCCAAAACAACCCAAAACAGCTTCACTGGTACAAAAACTTAAAAGAAAGCACCTGGAAAGCTTCACTGGCACAAACTGGTCAAACTGGGCCCTCGGGTCAAAACCACCACCACCCGGAAGGCTTCAAAAGCATGGCCGCTGGTGCACCCTGGGGCCGCCCGGTTGCCTGGCGCAGGATTTAGCCCCCCTCTGCCTCCGGCAGACCTCCGAACCCGCTCTTCACGCCGAAGACTCGCGGCACCTGGCGGAGGCCGGGGGGAAAAAAACGGTTGCCCGGTTCCGGTTCTGGGTGAAGCCCAGGCAACCGAGTCATTCTTCCAGGGGTACATTCCCTATTTCCAGGGGATCCTTCTTTCGAAACCCACGGAAGACGGCGGTTTTTGAAAGGAACGATGCTTGAAAATGGGTTGAATCCCATGGAATCCCTGAAGCCTTACCCGAATTTGGTCCACGCCCTTGGCCTATGGCTTTTGTTCCCAAGCCCGGAGCCCAGGTCCCAGGTCCGAAACGAGGCGCCCCGTAGGCTTTGAGCATGTGGTAGATGCCACCTCGGGGTGAAGAGAAATGCGCTGGTCTCATCCCTTGGGCTGTCCGTTGTCAGATCTGCCAAAAGCTTACCTTCTAGTGGGTTAAATGGAAACCCAACCACTAAACCAGCTAAACACCTGACAACCTAAGAAACCGGACGGCTGGGAGCCGCCAAGCCTCGCGGCTTCCTTTTGGGAAGATAGAAAGGCTATTCGCCAGCTTGGCGCGAGTCTCAGCTTCTTGCTGCTGCTCATTGGCTGTTAGGGGCGCGCTGAAAAGGCCGTCAAAGGTGATTTATCCGCACTGAAAAGGGGCAGCCTCCTGACAGCGCCCCCCCCCTGCCCGCGGATCAAACCAGTGGTGTATTAAGGCTTTCCTGTCACTGGAGGGGCTGAACAGTGGAAAACTCAACTCTGGAAACCTCGGAAAAAAAAAGGCAATCCCGTCACTTGCCCAACGTCCCAACATCCTATTCCTTGAAACCGCATCCCATGCGGCAAGTCTTGGAATCTGGGTGGTTTGGGCCGCACCAAAGGCCGCTTTTGAACGCACGCTTCAGGCCGGCTCTTTGGCCGGCGCGAGCCGCTAGGCGGAACTTCTGTCGGCCTGTCGTTGAAAACATGGAGGCTTCCCTACGTCTCCAATCTTCACTCCTAATGATTAGGTGAGAGCCGTATGTTATTGTCTTATTAAACACTTATAAAGATTCCTTATGTTTAGTACAACCGTCATAGGCCCTGGTTCGGAATCGCCGACCTGTGAGGGTGCCGCGTGTACACTCAGCTTGGGCCTCGCTCCAAGCCCAAAACCAATGCAAGTGGCGGGCTGGCCGGCAATGTCCCGCAAAAGCGCTGAGATACATGCATTCTCTCCAAGTGGAGTCTGTCTGAAATAGGAGACTCTCAACAACGCAGGTAATTCCCCTCAAACGCAAGGCCCATACAATCAAACAGAACCAAATACTCTCAGAATTACAAACATAAAAATCGATCTCAAACTGTTTCCCTTCCCAAACCCAACCATTCCCCGAACTCTGCAATTCTGGGACACCTTCGCACACGTCTCGGTAAATTTGAATGGCCCCAACCATGAGATTCAATGACATAATTTACTCTACAACTCTTCGTATGGTAGCAAAAGCTGTGTTTCTTGCAGCCCCGCAGTAAACATGAGCAGAACCAACAAAAACTAAAAAACAAAAAAACACCTGCCGAGAGCAGTGAAGAATACCCATGGACCTGCCTCTTCGCCCGCCACGGTTCCGCTCGGCTCACTGCACCGTCGCCAGGCACGCCGCCGCGCTGGAGCCGGCGCCCAGCGACGGGGAGACCTGGGACTCGAGGACGGGGAAGTCGTGCTTCCTGAGGTGCGAAAGGTTGCGGTTGCCCATCTGCTCTCCAATGTTGACACAGGATAAATCAACCCGTCCCACTATTGGGGGGGGTGTTCCCTCCAAATGTGATGAGTCCCCACTAAAAGGGGACACCACCCGATCAAAATCAACCAGGTTTTGATTAATCCGGGGTTAGCATTACCAGGAGCAGGGCTCAAATCCAAATCCAAACCACCAATCCAAGCATGTCTCCAAGCATGTTCCACCGGAAAAATGTTCCACCGGAAGAATGTCCCCCCATTTTTGGGTGAAAGATGGGGAAAGAATGGCCTTGACCCTGTCTAGGAAAACTGTTTCTGCGTCTTTGCGAAGCCTTCCGGGGTCTTTGGAGCAAGCTCAGCTTCCCTCGCTGCTGAGTGGTTTGGAGCCTCTTGGATTGGAATTGCTAGGGAGCGGTGTCCCATCTCCCCTCCCCCCCAAAATGTGTTTGAAAAAACCATGACCCGGGTCCATCTTGAGACATCCCAGCTCCCCACCAAACAAAACTTGGCATGGCCAAGCAACGGAGTCACCAGGGCAAGTTATCCTCGCACCCATTTAGGATGGATCCAAGGTGCATTCGACTGGATCCCAGCTCCAACAGGCAACCAGCCATTTCCATCTTAGTTTCGATGCTACACACGGACCTGGGATCACTGGGTACTGCTTTTTCAGGTTCGAGGCTCGCTGCTCCCAGCCGCTGAGTCCCCCCAGCCCCATGTCTCCAGGCGCGCCTGGGCATTGACCCTGTCACACCGCTGCCACCAGCAGTTAGTAGTCACTCAGCAGTTTGCTTCCCTGAACTGGCCAACTGCAACCTTTGCCCCTTACAAGGGGCAAAGGGGACCGTTCGAACTTCGCCACCTTTCCGCCGCGCTCGCTTGGCCAAGCGTCACGGGGCTGCAACCTTCGGCAGTGCCGCAGTACAGCATCCGAAGGTTGCAGTAGTTGGTGGACATGTCCCGGATCGAGAAGACCTCAGTCCGGGCCAAACATCACCTCAATTGTCTGTCAGGACGCGGAATCTAAGGCTCCATTATTTCGATGATTTAGTAGGTTGAACCGTCAGCTTCGAAAACAAGAACCTAATAGGTAGGCTCTTTGGACCAAGTTTAACATATAGTGGCGTCTTCTTTGGAAGACGCCCCCTTATTTGTGATTTTAGGGTCCGATTGCTAAAAAGAGACGAACCGCCCATGAATAAGGTCAAACCCAGAAACACAAGTCCACTCGGGTGGGTGGGCGTTTCGACTGGGGGGCTTCTCCAACTCACAGCTCGACAACTGAAAAAACCGAACTTGATACCGGAGATGTACAGCAAGCAACACACTTGGAAGTGTCAGTTGGCTTCCTACGCACCTCGTACTCGCAAGGGTACACCTAATCGGAAGACAACAGAAAGTGGAACGCGCAGGGTTCGGGCCAAAGGCCGCTCTGGTACAGGATCATCCCAATCAAACCTCCAAAGGGCCAAAGGTTGACCATAGGTGCCCTTTTTGGAAAATAGATGGCCCTGGTACATGAATGAACCGCCAGGTAAGCCAGGAGCCGCCCACTACTTTCCCAACCAAACAAACCAAAAGAGACAGCTATGATCTTCACACGCTCCTTCAACCCTTTGAGCTGCCGAAGTCTATCCCATGCGGCCCCCTCCCGCCTGAGATTCCGAGCACCCCATGATCTGGCCTCAGCAATGGGTACCCTCCGTCTCCCGGAAGCCTACTTTCCTGCAAAAGGGACCCTCTGTTGGATGGAACCCATGTTGGTGGACAGGAGGGCAACTCAAAGCGTGAACAGCGGGCCAATGAGTAAACTGGGCTTCTTCTTGACCTGGAGGCCCAAAGGATTTGAGGTCTGCTTGCTGCCACTCCATGCCTGAGAGCAAAACATCATGCGAGCAGTCAAAATCACCTCCGCAAAGAGGACAATTGGTGAGTGCGGTATTTGTTGAAGATTTTGGAAACCTGACCCTTTCAAATGGGCTGACCAAACCTCATCATTTCCGACACAACCTCATGTGTCTCCTTGGGCTGGGTCGCCTTTCAGGGAACATCTTGAAGGGTTCTCCCAGCAACATGCAGGGTTACGTTCAACCACCACTTGAGCAGGTCACATTTTGGGGGCTCCACTTCTATGGAAGATCAAATGTGGCCACGGGTTTCATCACCAACAGGCTTGCATATGATGGTTTCCACTACCCCCAAACCACTACCCCCAGGGTAAACTGGAGTATCCCTTTATATAGTGGCTGATATATCCCATTAAACCCTTGAAGGTAGCTTTGGTTTGGAGGTAGTGGAAACCCTCTTAGGGGCAAACAAACCAATGTTGCTTGCTGGTTTCCAACTAAAAACCAGCACCTGGCAACCCTCAACAAACACGCCGGCGCATGTGTGGTGTGCCCTGTTTTAAGGGTACCGTAGTTTTAAAAGGAAGCCCAAAGGACAACTGAAGCCATTTTGCAAGGCCCTAACAACAGGCCCACCCATGTTTGTTGCGAGGCGCACTTGTCCCCCGCCGGGGCCAACGTCATGGCCATCTTGTCCGTGTACTTCCCGTCCCCGGTGCGCCGTGACAGGAGCATCTCTCGCGGACTGCTAGAGATCAGACTGTAGGTACCTGGCCGAACGGGCTCTCCATATCTCCCCGGAAACCTCTGGGCAAAGGTGACGAGGAACTAAATAGGTTGAACCCTGAGCCAAAACCAAGCAAGCAAGCAAGCAAGCCAAGCCAAGCCAAGGCAAAGCAACGCAAGCCAAGGCAAGCGAGCAAGCAAGCAAGCCAAGCCAAGGCAAGCCAAGGCAATCAAGCAAGCAAGCAATCCAAGCCAAGCCAAGGCAAGCGAGCGAGCAAGGCAAGGCAAGGCAAGGCAAGGCAAGGCAAGGCAAGGCAAGCGAGCAAGCCAAGCCAAGGCAAGCCAAGCCAAGGCAAGCAAGCAACAAGTAAGCGAGCAAGCAAGCAAGCCAAGGCAAGGCAAAGCAATCCAAGGCAAGGCAGGGCAAGCAAAGCAAGCAACCACCAAGCAAGCTTCCAACCAACCAACCAACCAACCCAACCCAACCCAACCCAACCCAACCCAACCCAACCCAACCCAACCCAACCCAACCAACCAACCAACCAACCTGCAATCCTCACACCCAAGGCTTTTGGAAGGGGGTCCATGCGTTTGCAAACACGCAACTTGCAACTTGGGTGTAACCCCCAGTTTCCTACGGAACCAATTTCGCCGGTGAAGAAAAACCTGGTGACAGCCTTTGGCTTAGCGACCAAGGACGAATAGCGCCCCGAAGGTCCCTTAAGACTTGGTTGCTGGCCAGACCCCCTAAAAGTTGTTCGCTTTTTGTGGGTCCAATTCGGAAAATCCGAGCTCAAAGATCCAACTCAGTAGGTCGCGCTGGTTAGCTGCATGGCGTCGACGCCTTTTTGTCTCGAACCTTAAGCTTATCAACCACGAGCGCCCGTGGCTTTGCATCACCTTGTGTCCCGGGCAAACAAACACAATGCCAGGGACAAGATCTTGCAACACCACAGAACTAGGTTTCGTTGATCAATTGGATTTCCAAAAGTGTGCTCCTGGTAAGTACGGAACTTGTTACAGCTTCTCATGAAAGACGGAGCCATCAAGGACTCGGGAACATTGCACAATTGTGTGGTTGCGCTAAACTCCAGAAAGCGAAACCAATCGGAGCTTTTGAGTTATCCAACTTTCCGGTTCCGCGCCAAAATCCGCGCGCGCCAAACGCACAGCGCGCTTTGCACCGGGCCTCCGTTGTGGGGATCCTGCCACTCCGACGATCGAACTCTCGCTAAGATCTCCTCCTGCACCTCCGTGCAGCTTGCGCTGGCCAGCACTTGCGCCTGGCCGCTGGAACCATTTGGACGAGGCGATCTCCAAAAACCGCCGGGTGTCAGAGGGGCCTCCTTTTCCAAAGTCGGAGCCGGAGCCCCAGCGTCCCGGATCCCGGCATGTTCCTCTGCAATCCGCGCGCCACCCAAACAAGGAAAAAACCACTGGCTTTATTCGGCGTGACACACAAGTGGAGCCCTTGGCTCTACGAATGTCAACGTGCCCTCATCTGAAAACCTTTCATCCTTTTGCGGCTTCCCTTGGCGCAGAACGTCTCACAGGCCAGTGGCACCTGCGCTCGCCACAACGCTTCGCCCAGCCCCGGCCTTGGCGGAGGCGTGGATCAGGGACGGACTCCCCGGGCACTTCATGGCTTCCGCCACGCCCAGCGCCAGCACGGCCAGGCGCATCGTGAGGCGCGAATCCATGGCGTCTAGACTTCGGCTCTGAGCGCTCTGAGCCCAAAAACAAAAACAGAAACAAAAAACAAGGTTTGCAGCAAGGTTAAAGCCTGCCAAGGTCAAAGTCCTTCAAAGTATGTTTTTACAGGCTGACCCAGAGACAGGTTTCTCGCCAACCCGGTGCTACATGTCTAACACGCCCATGGTCTCCCTTTCAGGTCTCCCTTTCAGGGGGGGACCCGGTTCGGGTCTGGGTGCCTAAACCGAAAGCTGCCCTCAGATTAGGTTGGGTTTCCTCTCCTTCCCGGCCTGAGCTCCATGTGCAAGTTTTGTTCGGGACACGCAACGTTCTGTGATACCAAAATGGGCAATGCTCATGGCTCGATCACTTTTCAGCGAAATGTCCATATCACAAGTGGGAACCTGGGCCCACAACAGCAACAGGCCATATGTTTGACCACGCATGTGCCTGGGTCAGGGTCAATGTTCAACGCGAAGCTTAGGAGTTCCTTTCTACCATCATTCTAGTCACAGGCAACCATGTAAGATGCTAATTACCGAAGAAGAAACCGGACATGATATATATATATATATATATATATATATACATACACACACACATATATATATATATATGTATATTTGAGTGTGTGCGTGTGTGTCTAAGAGGGAGGTAGCCCCTGTACCCAAGGCTTGGAAATTTGAGGCCCCCGGCGGATGGCCGCATTCTCGCCCGGGCACAAGCCGCCGCAGGTGACGATGGCCGCGCAAGCCATGGCGTCCTGACATTCAAGGTAAACCAGGAGAAAAAATATATACATATACATACTCAAAAAAACACATACACATTCATGCATATATGCATAAATCTTTACTATAGATAGGTAGGTAGACAAGTAGATAGATAGATTCGATAAATAGATAGACAGACAGACAGATGATAGATAGAAATAGCGACCACCTCCACCCCCGAACGGAACGCAGAACACACCGTTCCAAACGCGCTCTGCGAACGCAGGCACCTTGACCATATTTGCTTCTTCTCGTCCCTCCAAAATGAAAGTTGGACAGGGGGTCAACGTACCTCCTATGTTTGCTTTTGAGTCTTGAGTGGCTTCACACCTTGATCATATTTGCTTTTTCTCGTCCCTCTAAAAAACCATTTTGACATCTCGTCAACCTCCTATGTTTGCTTTTGACTCTTGAGCTCGTCTCTGAAGCAGAGCAAGTCAAAGTCTTTTTTTTGCCTTGCCCTGGATGACGGCGTCCTGATGACATTTCCAAGTTGCTTCTTGGGGGGAGGCTGGAAAAAGGAAGCAGGATTGTTTGGTGCTTCCTGTACGGCCTTTAGACAAGCGAAGTCTTCTTGCTGAATCCTCCAGCCTTCCCAAGGTCGACAAAGCATGCTTCCCCAACCCAAACAACAAAATGATGCGCTTCTTCGGGGGTGGGGGGACTACTTCACTGGGGGCAAAGGGAAAAGAATAAGAAGGACTTTGCTTTTTGAAGGGGCCTGCCATTGCAGCCGCGACACGATGATTCACATTTGCTTCAAAGGAGGCGTGCACCAAGGCAGCTTCCAAGCCCGACCGAGTATGCTCTGAACAGAGGAACACAACATCGACCCTTACCTCATCTTTGCTTTTTGAAGGACTCTGACCCAACCTGGTCTGCTTGGCTGCTTTTCTTTTTTTGTCCGGAGCGGGACATGTGCACAACACCGTGGGGATCCCACAAGCACAGCCTCGGGGCTCCAAAAAGGCATGCATCAATGGCGCGCGGCTTCCAAAAACCTCTCAAAATTATGCGCTAAGTCTTCTGACGGCGCAGGACCGTGTCAAGCAAGCCACTCTCGGTAGCGTGCTCCATGTCTACATCGCTGGGAAGCTCCGGGATGCTACTGACACGTCGGCAGCACGAAGTCCTTGCCTTTTCTGCAACTGCGAGTAGTTGACTGGGCCACACCGTCGTACAGAAGAGGATAATTCGTCGCGACAATCAGAAGGCGAGCCTTAAGTCTGCGGGAGCAAAGCGCACCGAATTGGAACGCATTGTCTTCTCAGACGAGCCCAAGTTCCCTGTCAGCTGCGAAGCTACACCCGTGACAGCCAAAGTGGGGCATGGCTGCACAAATTCAAACCAGCGAAGCACGTCAGCCTTTGAAGCACTTAATTAAGGCTGGGAGGCATCCCCGACAGGCTCTATGAGAAAATTCCGAAGAAGGCCAAGAATTAATGAAGCGTTGCTCTGATCTCTTTGACATGTTTCTGTATACATATATATATATATATATAAATATTTATACTTGTATCTCACAGCTCGGAATCAGGCAAGCTCATCTTGCTGCATCGTAGTCATCATCTAGTGTGCCATATCGGAGATGGGCCCTGTGGTTGCCATTATTGTGGGTGTATTTTAAGAAGCGTTTGCTGGTGCATTAGTTGCATGCCAGATTGTATACCAATCTCTCATACATCCGTCGCGCATCATGAGTGAGCAAGGCTGAGCAAGAACTCTGGTGTGGAATGAGAAGCAAGTCTGAGCATCAGCGAGAGGAGCAAGAACTCAGGCTGCTGTGGAATGAGAAGCAAGTGACACGTGCCGCAGCCATGGCGGTCATTTCTAAAGCAGTTTGCGACGGAGGCGCCACGCATCATCACAAGTTGCTCTGGCACGGGCGCCGCTGAGGAAGCAGGGGTTGGGCTCTTGCCTTGATGCCGCTATGACAGCCAGGTGTGCAGACACTTTATGCAGATGAATGCCGGCGCAGCTGCTCCAATTGAGATTTTCGATGGCTTCAAAGACTTGTTGCGGCGCCCGCATGGACTCCTGTGCAACCTTGTAGTGGTGAGTACTGCCAGCAGCTTTCGATTTGGAAGGAGTCGCCCACTGCAACAGCTGCTTCGTGACTTGGAGGAACAAGCTTCCCAGCCACGGCCAGCGGTGCCGAAAGCACTCATTGTGGAGAACATGTTGGGCTTCCGTCAGTGCGGCCCCCTGAAAAAAAGTCACTCCTTGAGAGGCTGATCAAGAAAGAGCCTTCGCAAAAGAGGCTGGGTTGCATCGCGCCGCACTTTGTGCGCCAGCACCTTCGGTCTTCCTCTCAGATGCCCGCGGATGTACGTCGTAGCTGTTCCTGATCTGGATCGCAACCATGCGCCGCCGCAAAAACCTTTTCTACCACGGCTCCTGGATGCATGGTAGAAGTCACCAACACCCTCCCTGTCTTCATCAGGCAAGTCAAGTTGCAAACGCAGAGGCCTATTGCTGCTTAGGGCCGGCCAAATAAGGAAAACTTTCGTGTCTGAAGCATGCTCAAAGCAATCGAAGTGATGTCCAGTCCTGGACAGCGGCCCCTGTCGCCACAGCTATGACATGCAGCCTTTCCGCCTCTCGTTGTTCAAAGGAGTGGCCGAGCTCCTCCTGCTTTTCAGCACTGTAGCCGGCAATTGAGTCACCCTGCGTCCAAGACCACGGCAAGTACGTAGCGCGTGAACTTGCACCAGCGAATCGCAGGCTCACAGCCAGCCCAAACGAGCTTCATCAAGATATCCTTCTCCAGCGAAGCTGCGCATGGCCTCGTCAGATTGCGCTGCTTGCTGACCTCTTCAAACATCGTCAAGGCCAGCGCCAGAATCTCAGCTTCGCTCACACCATGCTGAATTTGGTACTGCTTCTTCTTCGTCTAATTGCCAAAACAAGCGCGTTCTGCTGAGCGAGTGAGCCCATGCGTTGTGGCCACCCACGGGCAGCTGGTACAGTAGTACATTGTTTCTCACCCGCGCGTACCGGGATGTACCGCGCTTGCATCACATCCAGCAAGACTTCTTCCCAAGCCATGGGGCTAAGTAGGCAGGGGCTTGCGGCAGTGTGCGCCCCACAGCCCCGAGCTTCTCGAGGTCTGCATCTCTCACACGCTGCGGCCCCAGCGAAGGAAAATGTCGCCCTCGCGGAACGCAAGAAATGGATGGAGGTTCTCAAAGAACGTTGAAAGCGTCGAAACGCTCAGAGTTTCCTTGTTTGACTTTTTTCCTAAAGCCAATTAGCAAGTGCGGCCCGCTGTCGTGCTCCGATTTGGTTTTTGGGGGTCTTGCAACGCCCGGAAAAATCTGCCCCGCTCTTAAAAAGGTTGACTTAGGGGCCCTAGACACAGGTGACCTCGAAGCCTCGAGAAGGTCATATGCGCTCTGATTTGGCTTTTTAACGATGCCCAAGAAGCAAATCTGCCCCGCTCCAGGAGAAAACAAGCTGGGGTTTGGGCGCCCGCAAACACTGAAGGTGGCCTCGAGGCGCTGAAAGGGAGCCTTTTTTGAAGGGCGCCACAAAACAAACCTGTCCCCCTCAAGTCACATGCCTTGCTTTGGAGCCTGCAAGTCTTGAAGTAGGCCGAACGCCGAACGCGCGTTCCGAACGTGCGTTCAGCGAACGTGCGACCAGCGAACGTACCGACCGAACGTGTGAACGCACCGACGGATGACGCTAAGTAGATAGATTAGATAGATTAAATGGATAAAATAAATAGATAGATAGATTGATTGATAGATAAGTAGGTAGATAGATAGATATACGTGTATAGATTCACACAAGCAAAGGCAATGTTCTGCGCTGTTCCTCCTCTTGATAACTACCATTTCTTGCGCGGCAGGCTCCCTCCAAAAAAACGCCAGGGAACCTGCCGGAACCCGCCCTCGTTGGTGACGAAACATGGCAGGGGAGGTATTCAATGCCTCAAAAATTGCTATGATAAAAACCTTCCGTGATACCTAGCTGGACCATCTCTGTGACTTTGTCATCTTAACATTGGCTTCAATTGATATCACAGAAAGTTGCAACCCAACCCCCCCCCTCCCCCAGTTTCACCATAAAGCATCCTCGCCTCAGGCTGGAAGTGCAGCGTGCGGCGTGGCCCCGCCCGCAGCCTCGGAGAGCGGCCCGCACATGGCACACCCCAGGGGTGTTCGATTCGAGAAGTTACTAAGTTGTTGACGGTGCAGTTCGCCTGCTTGCAAATGGGTTCCAACCTAGGA